TATTTCAATCACTTATGATCAATTGTTTCGACTGTATTAATTTAAAATTGAAGACAAATTAGGAAAATAGAAGAAAATATGTATGAAACGTAAGTAAAATATAATATATATTTCATATTTATTATAATTTTTCTTTTCTGAATTCTTTCTTTAATTGATGAACCAAACAAACTTTAGAATAAATAAAATTGATATCCCACATCATCATTAAAAAATAGAACTTGATTCTTATTCAAAATGACCATTCATAAGTGAAAAGAATATGCTAATTTTTGGAGCCATAAATATTACTCTTCTTCAATGTTAAGTAAGCTCACCTGTGTATCAAAAAATAATCTCACCTGGACGTCAACATCAAGAGCATACTTTATTATGAAAAATCAGGGCAATGTATACTTGAGAAATGTACATTCTTAATTGACGCCGTCCAATTCAACTTTTAATGATGCAGTGGGATTTATGTGAAGCGCTTTCACTCTTTTCTTTATTTTAATTTTTTAATTTGATATTATGAGATGAAATTGGAAAGAACAAAATAAAGGAATAAATTATTTTTAAAAAAATATAAATTAATGCTAAATTTACAAATATTAAAGTATAAAATGATAAAGTTTTTTATCAATCAATAATTAATTTAACGAATCCACTGTGTAGTAGTTTTCCCTTTATTAGTATAGTGATCTATTTGTACTTAATATTAATTCAGTACATAATAATAAAATATAAAATTTTAATTTCTATTACACAATCTTAAAATAAAATATTATTTTTCTCACAATATCCTAACCCTAATTACTTATATAACAAACTCAAGAATTAGCGCTAAAGCTCAGACGAGAATTTGAAAAATGCCATGACTGTTACATGTGAGAGCTGCTTGTTGCCTCAAGAAACACCAAACAAGTTCTCACAGTGACGTTAGAAGTTACACAATCTAGGAAAAAAAAATTAAAAATTTAAAAAAAAGTATTTTCGTATTAGAGTCTCTTCATTTTCTTTCCAAAATTTCAATTATTTTCTTTTCATTTTCTTCGTCATTCTAAAATTTCAATCCACCCCATCAAAATCACAATTATCATAACATTGTGTTTCTTATTATGTTATTACTCGCAATCGAAAGTATTTTTTGAAGTAATCCACAAAGGAAGGGGTAAGAGCACGTTTAGTATTATGGAATGGTTTGGAATGGAATATTATTCTAGTTTTGTATTCCATTCCCCCTTATTTGGTGTTATTTAAGTGGGACAAGTAATTCATTGGAATGGCTATTCCAACAAAATGAGAAGCCTATTCCATTCTCCACCTAAGGAATGGTCATTCCATTCTATCATGGAATTACCATAAATTATTATATTTTTTTTTTGTGGCACTTAAAAAAAATATTATTATTTAACTACACTACCATTCCGTTCTCCTACACCACCTATCGCCACCGCCATCACCACCGCCACTGCCACCTGTATTGCCGCCGCAACCATACTACCACCATCAGACGTTCACTGCCACAACCCACCACACACCATACTACACCACGTTACTATCGATGTCACCACCTACGCCACCACCACTACTGTTGGCCGCCGTAACCATCGGCCGCCGCCACAACCACCCAGCATCGCAACCACAACCACCACCTTACCACACCACTAAGGACAACAATTACTACCACCATCCTACTATCGATGCTACATTAATTCCGCCAGCCCCTGTACTCTGTATTACTGTATTACTGTTAAGCAGGCCTTCGATAATCTTGGATTACTGGCCGGTTACGGTGCTAAACCCATAGGGGCGGGTTTGGGTCGTGACAGTAGTGGTTGCGGCGGCAATAGGGTGGCGGTGGTGATGGCGGTGGCGATAGGTTGGTAGGAGAACGGAATGGTAGTAGTAGTTAAATAATAATATTTTTTTTAAGTGCCAACAAAAAAAAAATAATAATAATAAAATTTTATGGTAATTCCATGATAGAATGGAATGACCATTCCTTAGGTTGGAGAATGGAATAGGCATTCTCACATTTTGTTGGAATAGCCATTCCAATGGAATTACTATTCCCACTTAAATAAGACATACCAAATAAGGGAAATGGAATACAAAACTAGAATAATATTCCATTCCAACCCATTCCATAATACTAAACGTGCTCTTACCCCTTCTTTGATGGATTACTTCAAAAAATACTTTCGATTTGCGAGTAATAACATAATAAGAAACAACAATGTTAATGATAATTGTGGATTTTGATGGGGTGGATTGAAATTTTAGAATGACGAAGAAAATGAAAAGAAAATAATTGAAATTTTGGAAAGAAAATGAAGAGACT